AAGGTTTGCATGTTCTCCCTGCATTTCTAGTGGGTTTTCATCCGGGTGCTCCGGTTCCCCGGATTAATAAAGGGACTAAGCCAAAAAGAATGAATGAATATTAGGATGCATTTTACACAAATATTTCTATTTTAGTGTATATCTTGTCATTTTTTATGAATTATTTTAGACATATTTTTATATATTTCTATATTTTTAGAAATTTTATAAATGTTTTTATTTTACTGTATGCAAAATGTATAGATTTATTTATTTTTCATGTAATTTTAATTTAGCTTTTTAATACAGCTTCACCATATCCATCATTATGCCCCAGCTGCTCAGAACCATTGATTGTCTTAAATGCCCAGTTGCTATGGAAATGCTCATATCAGATCAACTTTACAGAAAAATCAGGCACTTCTGAGAATTATGCTCATGAATGTTTAATAATTAGGCCTGGAAACATTGTTACAGCGGCTAAATATAAAAGTGTGTATTTATATCCTGTCGTTTCATCATTTGTTTATGACCGTTTCCTCCTCCGGGCAGGTTTTTAGTGTGTGTTTGGTTTCTGTCAGCCAATCAGCACACGACATCATGAATATTAATTAGATGTGATATTCTTTAACTGATTTGCTAAAGCAGGTGTGAAGTGAAAAAATGATATATATTTTACCCAACATTTTAGATTAGTGTGTGTTTTCATGCTTTAAAATCTTCACTTCTCAGATTTATCAGCTGCCTGGTCATTTCACGAAACAAATATGTTAATAAAAAGTATTTTATTTTTAGTTAATTTAAGTACATTATTTATATGAATATATTTATATAGCATATAGTTAATATAAAAAAAAACTTGTTGATTTAGCATTGAGATACTACATTTTAACAGATAATTAGAAAATGTTCTGGTTTAATTTTAACCAATTAAATTTTTATATTATTGATTTAATTTTATTAGTTATTTTTAAGTTAGTTTAGTATTGAGATTTATTTGACAACAATACTTAAAATCAGATTATATTTAATATTTTTATTGACTTTTTTATTTGGTATATATATATATATATATATATATATATATATATATATATATATATATATATATATATATATATATATATAGAGAGA